TTTACTCTCATTGTCAATTGTGTCATTGTAATCCCGACCTCTTCACCATGAAATTATTTTAATTTTCAGTGTTAAACAACAACAAAAGATGTATAAAATCTTTATTTGTGAGTGAATGTGTACATAATTTAAAAATTTAAGTTTTAATTTATCTGTCCAAAATAATAATGCAATCAATTTCTTACATCAATTGAATAGGCAGTCATTTGCATGCTTCCTACTTTTTGACTGCCATTGCTCTATACCAGTAGTAATTCAGAACTCATTTTTGTTTTTAGATTTACATTCAAAAGCACATGTATGCACAACAGCACTCTACAGAAAATCTACGCTCATGTCAAAACCGTGGGCTCCTAATCTTCTCTGATGACACATTATTTTCTGTGGGAAGCTTGTGCCGTGAACAGAGTTACCAGGGCAACTCATAAGCGCCCTGGATGAATGAAGGGAAGAGGAGGATGAGATCATTGGTGTCTTGTTTCGCTGTTGCGGTACAGAAGCCATCGACTTCCCTCTTAAAGCCAGACAAGTTAATGAGCTCCGTCCTGCTGCCAAACTCATGGGGGCTGTCCACAGATGCATGCACCTTTTCTGCCCTCAACACACACACACACAGGAGAAAGGAGCTCACAGCATTTTGATGAAAAGTGGAGCTTACGAATGACTCAATGAAAAGTCAATCTGTCCACTTCTAACAGGAGTAAAACTTTACATTGAAAACAGTGATGAAAAATTGTCATTTTGAAAATTGAAAATGTATTCTCTGAAACTATACTGCAGTGAAGACAATTAATTGCTGTTGATGTTGAGCAATTATGTGACTGTAATGCCAGGCACACAGGTTTCTGCACACCTTGCAAAGGTATGTGAAATTGTAATTCTTCTTTTACAAATTTAAGGTACATGTAGTATCTTATCTCTTGGAGTCAGCCACCTACTTGTCTCCTTGGAGATTTTATTGCTTGGAATGTTCCATTGTATGGCATTAAAATGTGTCTTGCATTTATTCAATTACAGGTGTTTTATGCTGTAATAAGACTAAGAAAAACATTAAGTTAACTGCAACACCATGGAGCAAATCAATAAGATCTTTATGGAGAACACGTTCTGTAATGACTCACTCTCTCTTGGCACTGGACAGTGAATAAAGAACAGACTTGAGAGCACTGTAACTTCTAGGCAAAAAATGTAACTTTTTAAGACCCCCCCTCTGTCTCTGTCTCTCGCTCTCTCTGTATCTTTATCTCTGTCTCTCTTTGTCTCTCTCTTTCTGTCTCTCTCTGTCTTACTTCTCCTTCCTCTAAACACACTCTTCCTTTCTTTCCTCGTGCATCCCACTGTCAATGTCTAACCTCACACCGGGGGAAGTTTCCTGTCCTGAAACCAAGCCCGCTCTGGATTACTTCCTGCCTCTGCCTGTTATGGGACACATTTGTTTGGTCCAGTTTGTTTCCCTCCGCCCCCACTCTCTCCGCTCTGCTTCCTCCTATGGGCTGTGTGCAGATGGCTGGGGCCGGATCTCGCAGGGATCTTGGCAGAGCAACAGTACTCTGGAGGAAGCATACCGGAGCCGTGACCCCGTGACCCCCACTGTACTACTGCCTACCCCGCTCACTGAGCGCTCTCAAGTGGCCCACAGGAGACCCAGGTCCAGCTGCTGTGTGCTGGGCAGATGGTTGCTTGATTCAATATTGATCAAGGCACTGATGTAGTGAGGACTCTTTCTTTGCATCCCTTTCCATCAATTTTTGTAAAGTAGGACATTTATATATTTAGCAGTAACTTAGGCCTACTAAAACTACTTCTGAGATGTTCCCTTTTTATTAAATGAATGTTCCAAAACAACAGTTATGTCTAAGGGAGTATTTAAACTACTTTGCAATAATTTCTGCTTTAGAAGGAAAAATAATGACTGGATCTTATTACTACTGGAATAACATTTTTTAAAGATATACACTAATACACTTTAGAACCCAGTGACCTAAATGAGTTACAGAATTCATTTCCATGTTTTATCCCAAAATAAATAAATCCTGTATGAGAATGATTTGCCTTATTCCTGGATTCCTCCATAGGATGATACAGAATGCATCATATTTTATCTTTTTATATAATCGTTTAGCAGTTGATTCACGGAAACCAATGGAGGAAATATGGAGCAACACATTTCCTTATCTGGCCCACAGTTCCTGTCATAGAACAACACCTGTATCCCTTTGCCTGACACTTTTTTAAGATATGCCATTATGTCAAGACACTAAGGGTCAAAGTCTGTCAGCCATGCACTGCTTTAGATAACCTGCTACTATGGCCTCTGGCTTATCATTTGAGACTTGGGTCAAATAGGCTGTCAGAAGGGATGCAAGAAAGGGAAAACTGGTGATAGGTCTGATACAATACTACATTGTACAATTATCTTTCAATAAATGACACAATTGACAATAATTTTTATAAATTTTTTTTACAGTATACTGTTTTTACTGCTTTCATTTTTTATAGCATTAACATTTCATCTGTAGAGAGGGTCAATGTATCTATCATATCTACGAATTTTTCCACACATTTCTACTATTCATTAATTGCATGGCATGTTGTACTCATGTTGTCATGTAAAATTTTTCTGGAAATAAGTTTTGCTGCTAACATATCAAAAGGTACACACATGCTTACGCTGCATAGAGATTATATGTAGAAGTAGAAGTATATCATTGATGAAAAGCACTAATTGCCTATTCTTTTTTTTTTTTTTACTATATCATTTTGCTGTCTTTGTTATGAAATGCCTTTTGACCACAAAACGTTTTTTTTTTTTTTTTTTTATTGTATAGTATGGTTATTTCGATTAATTAATTCATGAATCAATACTACCCTATTTCATATTATATCATCATGATATGCTGGCAATCTGGACACAGTTTCACTTGATATTGATTGCGCCTTCTCTCTTTTTCTCTCTCTATGAAAACTTCCTTTGTTTGATGAGTGGCTGTGTGGGGTGGGGGTTTGCCAGCAAGGACAAGGTTCCTATTACTGGTGCGACAGTGACATTGGCGGCCGAAGATAACAGCTGTCCAACTCCCCGAGGAAGTGTTTGAGGCGAGCGATAAGTGAGAACTTGGAAAAGGAGGGTGGCTTTTCAATGTGGAGATGTGGGCTGGTGACACTGGGGTATGTTGATGATGGGGTACCAGGCTTTGGAAATCAGTGTTATACTTTTTGGTTGCTGTGTACACTTGGAGTTACAGAGAATGTTATCAGACATTTTAGTACAGACAATAATTTTGTATTTTGTTTATGAAATGGCACATTCATTTTCACTCTTCAGAAATAAGCAGCTAAAACTTCAGCCCCCAGCCTAGCTAAACCAGTGATTAATCTTGGTGCTTTGAAAAATATGAATAAAAACTTTAACTGAACCTAATGGGGTTTGTTTTTAGTATTATGATGAAAATCTTCAGACAATATGAGAATTCATCATCATATGCTAAAATGTGCCTGTTAATACCTTGGTAGAGTGTTCTACAATTTGTGAATGGACTGTAAAATAAAACACACATTTCCCTTTATCTATTATTAGAAAGATTAGGCTTGTCTAAAATGTTGCAAAAAGAGAGCATAAACAACAAACAATAGAAAGTTGACAATACTCTTGAATATTACCAATTCCTTAAACAGCAATATTTCTCCGACCTCTTGTGATATGACCAAAAGTACAATACTTGCCTCTTTTTCAATACAACGCTTCTCTGTTTCCAGATATTTCACACTTTTATTCCCATGATGCTTTGCTCTCTATAAATCACCGGAAAAGGACAGTGCATCCATTTCCTTCTGTGATGTGCCAAAACAAACTAATAAACTCTCAGTTTCCTCATGTGAGCTGAAGGAGCTAAGATCATATCAAATTTATCTCCATATTTCTCATATCCCATCAAGGCCCCTCCCGTCTTTATTCCTCATCTCCTAATCTCTCTTTCTTCTCTGTCTCCTCCTCCATGTGTTTTTTTCTTTTCATCCAAGCAGCCGTTCCCGTAATCACTCCCTCCTTTTGGCTTTTATCTCCACTTCCTCAATATCCTTTTTTACGGTCTGTGCCTCCTTCCTTCCTGTGCCCCCTCCTCCTCCTCTCTCCTTCCTCCTTACCTCCGTCCTGCACCCCCAACCCCCACTCCCCCCTTTCTTTCTCCTTCCTCTTTACCTCCTTCCTGTATCCCCCCACTCCCCCCCCTTTCCCTCTCCTTCCTCCTTACCTCAGTCCGGGCCCCATACCCACCCCCTTCTCTCTCTCCTTACCTCCGTCCTGGCCTCTCACCCCCTCCTCTCCGAGTCACTTCTGCTGCATCTTCGCTGAGCTCATGCTTCCTTCCTTCCTGCCTCAAACCAACTGCTTCTCAGTCACGTTGTAAGGTTATGATTGCTTTTCATATTGCTAATTTAAATGTAAAAGTAAAGGCTGTTTTTTTTTGCTGATGGGGGAAAAAAAAACGGGTTTGTAGTGAGTGACTGGTGTGCAATCTACACGCTAAATATGCCTTGAAAAACATGCTTTCTTATCTTGAGTGTACTCTCCTCCCCACAGATCTGGCCTGTAAGTTAGTCAGGTGCTGTCACCTGTTTGTCTCCAAGGAGATGGATCATTTTTCCATATTGTGGCACTTTCCAGACAAGCAATAACATCTCCATGGAGACAAGCATCAAAAAAGAACATCTAATCATAGAAAACACATGGTCTCAAATCTCACATATAAGATAAAATTAACAGGTTTGTATAATTTTTACCTCTGCAGCCAACATGATGGAATATATTATGTTTCTATTGGTCCCATTAGTGTACTCTCAATATGTACACACACATCAGTAGTGTAGATCAAACTAAATTTCATATGATTTGAGGTTTGGTATTATTGCATCATTTCATCAAACTCTTAAATAACTGTTGTAAAAAGCTGTCTCTTATTCATATATTTTTTAGACGTAATAGTCTTTTCCCTCCTGCGCAGGTCTGCAGCCGGTATACTGGAGCAGAGAGGACGTGGCCCAGTGGCTGCGATGGGCTGAGAAAGAGTTTGCACTGAGACCCATCACCAGCAGCTCCTTCCAGATGAATGGCAAAGCTCTGCTGCTGCTCACCAAAGAGGACTTCCGCTATAGATCGCCACACTCTGGTACCTAACATTGTATATGTCTCAATATCTATTTATTTATTTATTGCATGAATTGAGACTGAATATTAAAAAGCTGTTAATACACAAACACCAACAGAGTGCACGAGGACTTAGAACAGAGAACAGTACTTTACTGTTTTCTGTTGTTTTATTTATTAAAAATGATAGCTGCTAGCAACCTAGCCTAGAATCAAGTAGGTTGATTCAAACTTAATTTAGTGAAGGTGGATGGACTTGAATAACGCAAAGGGACATCACCTCCAAGAGGTGAAGGGTAAACATTTTGCACTGAGACTGCAAAAAGGCAGGATTACTCAAACATGCACAAATGAAGCTCAAATTAATATCTGAAGACACACAGATTCAGTCCAGAAGGTGTATTTTTCATGAGAAAATGTCACAAGGGGTGCAAAATATTGGACCTTCAAAGCTACATTTTCACAACAACCGTCATTACATCTTCATTGCATATGATTTCTCATAAATTTATTCTCAACGACAAAAAGTGCCAGTTAATCAATGCACAATTTACCTACAGTGCACATGACAATTTGTTCCTTCAACTAGTCTAAAATTTGATACTGCTTACGACTTAAGTGGTAAATAATCAATAATTAAGGCAAGAGAATTGGTATCACACAGTGTGGGAATATATTGGATATAGTCAGTTTATACTTTATACAGTACTCTGTATATACTGTTTTTTGTCTTTGTCCTCAGAATAAGAGGGGGAAATAAATAACAATTGTGAAATCTGAAGAGGTGTGACAATCTTCACTTATGAGAAATAGTAGCAAAATGTCACAAGACTATAAGTCAAATGATCTGTACGTTGCATAAGTCTATTTGTTATAATAGCTAATAAAGGGGTGGACTGCATTGCAAGTAACACAATAACAAATATCTCCTTACATATCACATATTATATAACTAACAGCTACAAACAAACACAGGCAATGTTTTTGGATGTGTTAATGAAATGTAAATCCACACTTTTCCATGTCTAACTGTGAGCAGCTAAGCCTTGTAAGACACTATGTTACAATAATATTTAAATTATATCTATTACTTATACTAGTACTTATCTATTACTTACTGTTAATTGCAACTTTTGTGATAGGACTGTCACATCTTTTGTACTTTTATACCAGTACAACCTCCTTATTCTGTTCAGTTAATTTGACTATATTGACAACTTGTTATACTGCATGTACATTTTTGTTTTTATCTTGTAGAAAAAAAAACAAAAAAAAAAACCACATACTCAAATCTAATCAGTGCTTAAAACCAGAAAGTGAGAAGTGAAATGGGTGTGTTATTCTACAAGTTTCCTCCTTTTCCTTTTGAGAATCATTTCCTTGTTGGTGTAAGAGAGACAGCATGACAAAGGTCGTGTTAAGTGGCATGTCTTGTAAAATATGTGTCACGTGACAGTGCTGTTGAGTAAATTTAAGAGTCCATAGAGTGGTCACACACTTCACAAACTACACAGCATTAAAGTGTATGGCTCATTTACTTGGACAGTTGGAATTTTCAGCCTCACACTTGCTACAAAGCCTATTTGAAGCTGGTTTGTTAATTTTTTTGTGTGTGTGTTATTGTTATTTTCAGTGAACAACAATAACAAAAAAGTAAGGAAAGGAATCTGCTACATAACATGCATATTTTTTTAGCTAATGTGTTATTCTCTTGTTTCAACTAATATTTTGAACAGGCCATTTGATTTTTGCAAAGGTCATTTATTAAAATACCCAATTAATAATCAAAAATAGTACTGTTTAATAGTACTGTTTTAGACTCTGATGTCTATTGCTGCTGTTACTGTCTGACCACTGTAATATAAATTGCTACAGGCAATAAGAAAGGCAAGGATGGATGACCCAATTACCTTTAAAAATACACACTTCACAAAAGCTGAAGGAACACTTTCTAACTGAAGTGTGAACATGGATGCAATCAATTCACTAACTCAGGAGGTTGCTGGTGGTACTTAAATAAACAGCAGGTTCATTAGAGCAACAATGGGACAACCCCAACACAGCGGTAGTTTCACTGGAAGACTGTGTGGTGCACTACTACACCAAGCCTCATGTGATGAGTGTATACTTTCAGTTATTGGGAGAAAATACAAAAAGGATGCCAGTGCCCCCATGCCCCCAACCTAAACCCAAAAGAAACCCCCTGGAACATTATATCCAGCCCCTTCTGTTGTTTCTAGGTTGGTCAATGGTCACAGTGTGCTGGAGCTCAGTGCTGCTCTGGTCCAGATCTGAGAGGAGATACACTATTCTCAGACTCTATAGGATGAAGCCTCTGCATTACAGGACCAGCCACACTCTGCTTTCACCTGTGTTTACTGTACAGTAGGTTGGTAGATTTGAAGGAATGGGAGAAATAATAAAGCATAAATTAGACTTTGTGACCCACTGACACTTCTTCAAAGTTTAAACGTTATTTTAGAAATCACTTTCTAATTACTTCACTATTGCTATTCACTATTGCTCAAACCTACAGCTACCATGAAAACTGCACCAAGAAAGATTAAAAGAAACTTGATTCAGTTTGTGGCACCATGTTATGATTCATTATGCACGGTGACCTTTGACCTTACTTGTCTGTCACAGGTGATGTCCTCTATGAACTGCTGCAGCACATCCTGAAGCAGAGGAAGCCCCATGCATTCTTCCCTTCGGCCTACTTTCCTGGGAACTCCTTTCACCTGCAGCCAGACAGTGTTGCAGTGCCACACATGAAGCTGGATGGTCAGTTCAGTACCAGACTTTAGCACTGACTAAATCAAGGCAAAGCTTTCTAATTTTAAAACATTATAGAATACATTTCCCTAAACTTGTAGGGCCCATTGGTGATGTGTATTCCTCAAAAGTCTCAAAGGTGTAGAAACATTTTTGTGGCAAACTGACATACCTGAGATTGTGGCAACTTGACAAACTTGAGTTTATGATTGACATTTTAAGAAATACCATTGAATGGCATTCAGACAATGCTAGTAAAACCTGTTCTACAAGGAAATATGTAGCTATTTATTTATTTTTATTTTTTTTATTTTTTAGGAGCTACATAGTAAAACGACTAGCTTTCTAAAAACAAATCAATCACATTTTTATTATATATATTTATATATATATATATATATATATATATATATATATATATATATATATATATATATATATATATATATATATATATCATATATATATATATATATATATATATATATATATATATATATATATATATATATATATATATGTTCATTAAATTGTTTTCCAACCTAGGATATTTAGCACATATTATAACCTGACCTCATGCATACTATTTGATATTAATGACACCTAGTGGACAAACTAAAGACTACACTGAACATCTATACTGGTGGAATAGCATAGCTGTGACAAATACATACTCAGCTATGATGATTTATTTTCTTAATTTATCCTGATCCTTAAAGATAGTTTTTTTTTAATTGCTCTGCCACCTTAAAACAAACATTAGAACAGGTGAGGATCTTTCTTTTACTATATGTTCTCTGTTCACAGACACGGTACGGAGGACATCCAGAGGACCAGAGCCCATTCCCCAGCACACACCGACCATCGAGCTGCGACACCGGTCCCGCTCTCCTCATCACACTGCACCCAGACAGTCCTCTCCGGAGCAGATCCCCCGTCCCACTAATGAGGACCACTTGCAGTCCTTCTCCCAGCTGCCGGACAGCAACCATCACCTACCTGAAGACGTATATCCACTGTCTGTGTCCCCTGCCGCCCCCAATGGCCGCTGTGCCACCCCCAAAGAGGCCCCCTGCCCTGGGAGCCCAGGCCCTCAGGAGGCTGGTCCTCCACGGGTCATCCAGCTCATGCCCAGTGCCATAATGAACCCTCTGCTGCTCAGCCCCAACAGGAGCTCAGCGGGGATGGACTTCAGACATGGGCGCTCGGGACCCCCCTCTCAGGGTAAAATGGAGAATGGCCGGGACAGTAAAGCCCATGGCCTGCTCCACCCACTCGCCCCGCAGCAGCAACCGCACCTCATAAAACAGGAGGACGTACTGTACAGAAACATCATCATGCCTGTTTCACCACCAGAGGAGCAGCAGATGCCCATAGGTCGGATAGCAGGTGAGAGTCGGGAGACCAGGTGCTGGTGAGGCAGCAACAAACAAGTTTATACAATTTCAAAATATAATATTGATTATATTTATTGCACTCATCAAACCAGGTGGTTTCAGAGGTCTGATGAAATATCTGTGATTTCTTTTATTGCGAGGTGGAATATTAAGATAATACATAATGTTATCATGGTGTGCCCATAGACTGCAGGCTGCTCTGGGACTACGTCTACCAGCTCCTGTCTGATAGCCGGTACGAGAACTACATCCGCTGGGAGGATCCTGAGAGCAAAGTCTTCCGCATCATGGACCCCAATGGCCTGGCCAGGCTCTGGGGCAATCACAAAGTAAGTGCATAGTATACTACAACTCGTAAGAGAAAAGGTAATTATGGTGACATGTAGGATCCTTGTGTTGATTTGTCAGTATACTGCAGAGCAGGACTTACTCTTGCAATGTTTACAATTCACAAACTCATAACAGTCCATTTTGCACCTTTTTATGCTACATTTGAGCACACTTCAAATGGTGGCGACAGTGACAATCATACTATTTTGTTTATGAAAAGAGCAGATAGAGCAGAGAGAAGTGCTTTGTTCATTTGTGAAAAGTTTCATTTCTAAGCTTATTCCACTGTTATCAATCTGTTGGAAGAATTCTACTAAATATTTCACCTGTCCCACAACACTTTCAAAAGCCCAAATTGGGCTACTATCTATATGGCTTCTAGTAAGTTAGATTAGTCCGTGTAAAGAAATGTAAACATAATTCCATCTGCCATCTACTAGTGGGGGTTGCAAAATAGCAGTGTCATTCCTTTCTTTCATCTTTTTAGTGTTGTCCAATTTATATATTTAAATGTATATTAAAACAAAATGGTTTCTGTTTTATTCATTTTGTCATAAGGACAGGCACCAAAACATTAGAGTCATGAGAGCATTTTCATTTATTACTTCGATTACTCCCATTCATGCATTATAATAGCTGCTTGTTTTTTCCTTTACAGAACAGGACAAATATGACGTACGAAAAGATGTCAAGAGCACTGAGACACTACTACAAACTCAATATTATCAGGAAAGAACCTGGGCAGAGACTTCTGTTCAGGTAATCCTAAATTTCACTGTTTTTTCCAATAAAATTTTAATACTTATTGGTGATTTTATTTTCATCATCAATTCTTATTTTCAGGTTTATGAAGACCCCAGATGAGATTATGAATGGTCAGGCTGAGCGCTTGGAGCATCTTGAGTCTGACATGGATGAAACGGTTTACATCAAAGAGGAGTGTGAAACAACTGTTGGACATAACATGAACTAATCTAGGTCTGGTTTTGGTCCCTTTGGGTCTAGCCTCAATGCCTTCAAAAGCAGCATGGACAATCGCAAAACGGAGCCTCCATCTTGCCTCTTTAAGGTGGCCTTGGAGTGATGGGATAGGGGTACCACACCTCATCCCAAAAACACATTCATTTATACAATACTTTTCAATGGGCGCAGCTTAAGACATTAAACATATTTTTTTCTCCTGAAATAAACTGCAGATTCAATCAGCTAGTGCTTATTTCACTGTCATGATTTTGTGTTCACATGTGAATTATAAAATTGATTTCTGTTCATAAAATATGGGTGTGTACTTGTGTGACAAGAATGTTTTCAATCACACAAATAAACAATTTTTTTTTGAAAAAATGTCAAAATATCAAAAGTATTTCTGAAATGCAATCAGTGGGATGAATGGGGTACCGTTACAAAAACGTAATTAATTTACCTCTTGATCTCTTTTGTGTATCTTATAAGTAAACTATCGTCAATTACCTTTAATTAGTAAAAATCCCAGTTTATTACAATTAACATTTTCAGTTACAGTATATTTGTATGTAACTTTGAAGTTTGGCATTTTGATGGCCATTAGTTGTAAACTGAAATACTGGTCGCAAATATGATAACCACTAGATGGCGCTGCTGTACAGTCTTTGAAAAACACTACTTGGAAACAGCTCACTATTCTCTTTTAAAATGTATAAGTAAAGAAGATTTATTTCCACATTTAAACATAAATATTTGAAATACTTATAATACAAAAATTTAATAAATAAATAAATTAGCCTAAGTAGGCTAATTCAGTAGGGTAGTTTATATGCCTATGTCCATTTTATTGCAGTTTATTGTAAAAACAGGACCAGTGGCATTTTCCCTTAATTTCCCTTCATCAAGGCTTCATTTTATTATCAGTGTGCATCTATAAGAATATACGGCAGAACTGTGACGTGCGGACCGGGAACCAAGCTGCTGGAGACTCCATAAAAGTTGGTGCGCGCGGAGTGGGGCTGTCAGAGCGAGGAGAGACACCGAGAAGCACGCACTGAGGCTACAGCACTGACAAGGGTCTGCTCCACACGGGTTTAACAGACGTGTGGGGGATGCAGGAGGAAGCTATTAGGCACCGGGACGTACCCAACATCCTCCAGGCTTCTGTTTAATAGAACCACGGATTTTAGCGACATCTAAGAAGGTTGGAAACCAGGACCACCCCATGTGCGTCAGCTGAGATGCCAGTACAGATGCCATAGAATAACCCGATTGCTATTAAAGCCATTTGTTTACCATAAGGAAGAACGCTGCGCCAAGGTGTAGCCTATTTGCCCCTGTCCAACGCGCCAATGTGAACACCGCATCGGGTCACCCGTGGATTGTAGCACTCTGCAGATGCGATAAAAGGGCGTGAAAGAGCGGGAAGGGAGTGGGACGCCTACAGGTAAGAGGCATACACTTTGCTAATGTCAGTCAAATGCATAACCCTTAAATGTAGTTTGTGTGTAATCTATGAGAACTGTGTGTCATTATTGTAAAGATTAGGAGAAAAATTGTTTAGTTTTTTTTCACTCTTTTACATCAGGGTCTTATCAGTTTCTAAGTTTCGACTTAACAAACCTACTTTATGGACCTAGAAATACATGTATGCCAAAAGTTATGCACACAGCATTTTCACCTTAATATTTGATCACCTTCCTAAACGTTTTGCTTTGTGTATTATATGAAAGCTTGTGGAAACAGTGAGTTGTCAATACTTATCAGTTATAACCTTTAATTCAGCCAATATGTTCTTATCAGTATATTAAGGATATGCCTGGGAGAAGTGTAGGCTTTGCACAGCATGTATGATTAGATGGATGTCGATTACTTCTGCTTTTCTATGTTAACATTTAGATAAAGCAATTTTGACAGATTGGACTTGTTTTCCTCTAACTTTAAAGCTGCGGAGTAGCCTTTCGTTAGTTGTCTTGTTAGGGAAGTGCACTGAAGCTAGTGGAAGTGAGCTCATTTTAATAGTGATTTATCGACGTGCCCTGGTACTCTCAGGCCTGGAGCCAGTCCTTATCCCGTATATGATGAAACATGGTGACAGACTGCAGCTGCCCCAACACTGAGCTACTCACCTGCAACATCACTGCCCACTTTAATGAAGGACAGAAAGAGCGTGTGTGCAGCAGTGGGAAAGGCAGATGACAATCAGTATTAAACACTCACAACAACAACAACAACAACATTATATTTATGATAATACAACTATTCGATTTAATAAGCTGTATCAGTTTCCTTGAAATAATGTTCAGTGGCTGATCTGCAATTTGTAGATGAGGGTTTAAGCTGTTCCAAGGTGTTAATAGGTGATGGCTTTATCACATACTAGACATTAGTATATATTGAAGAATTGTAGACAAAGCTTTGATCAAAATTATAAACATTTTTGTGTTTCTTATGATGTAGTTATCAAAAAAATCTTCTTCCACAACTGTTTAATCTTAAAGTCACAATAACTCCCCACTTTCAGACTATATTAAGCCCTGATGGAGATATTAAGGCCAATAAAAAAATCACAATGCTCTTTTTGCTTGTCTTTTAATTATTTTTACTCTCATCTTGGCTTGTAATAACACATAATAATAACACATTTTGAAGCACAATATATCGCTACAGAGAAATGTTGCGATAAACGATAGTATTGAAACTGCTTTAGGCCACTGACTCAAAGCAAGGTAATCCTAGTAAACCAATTTTACATTTACTGTATAATTAAAAGGCATTAGTTGTTACATATAAATAGCGGCATTAACTCATAATTAGAGACAGAAGTTATTTATTCTATCCTCTACAGCTCAAATCTTATTGTATTACTTAAAAATTGATAAAAATTTTCCCCCTATTGTAAAGAAGTTGTACCCACAATAAATGTTGAGCCCCAAAATATATTGTTCCAGCTTTCATATATTAAAGTCAACGTAGTAATTATCGTGGCAGGCCTCCCCTCTTCGCTGCAGATTTGTTTTCCATTTTGGAGTAACTATTTATTTTTCTTTATAGTATATATTGTAGACATAGAACCTATGTTTAATTTACCTGGTCAAGTAGAGACATATTTATGTGTCTGAGAAGGGCTTTTATATCTTTGTCTCTGTCTCTGTTCAATGGTCTTATATGCTTCCACTTATAGTTATGTGGGTCAAATTTGTGTCTATGAATGCTTTTGCAGTGATGATATCAAAAAGACCGAACTGCCAAAGTAGTAACCAGCCTCAGCACAGTAGTAATGTAACCATAAATCGCTAACAACCAAAACATTTTTCTTAAATCTGAGTACGAAGCTGCTATAAATAACCTCCTTTTCTCCAGCTTCTTGACAATTCTCCTAACAGCACGCAACGGCTTGTAGAGCTTTGAGCCGCAGAATTACACCTCCCTTTCTGACTTTACTTCAATTTAGGTCTGATTTTGGTGCTCTCAACTCAAAATGGAAGAAAAAAATCTTACAACTGATTGGATCCTGGCATGCTACAAGCTTCTTGTTTCAAACCTTCAAAATGCTTTACTTTTCTCTGCCTGTAAGCTTGATTTGCCATATTTGAAATCCAGTTTATAGGTACTCTATATGTAACTGTTCTGGTGAAGGGTCCTACTTTGGAATAGGCATATTGTTCATAGTAAAAATACTGCAACCTCAGTATAAATGAAAAAAGCTGATAATGCAGAAAATTTCACATCTGTCATTTTTAAAGATGTTTTACTGTATTGATTGAGATAATATCGCCTCAGTGCAATGCAAGTAATTTGTTCCTTCAGAATATATATTCAAGTTATCTGCATTGGAGATTGTATAAAGGATTATCCTACATTATCCTCTTAACCAAAGCTTGTTGTTCTGTAAAGTTAAAAAATTGGATCAATTCTTTCCCAATTAGAGCACTTTAGTAACTCTAAAGTAGACCGTAAACTTTGTTAATTGCTGTGAACCAATGAGAGGAACAGTACTGCACTGAGTACAATGAACTCAGGGTCAGATCGCCTCATTAGCAATTGTTGTTTTTGAACAAATGGTTCTGTCTTACCTAACTTCTAAGAAAATGGATATTATGAAAAAGAAACTCTTTAAAAAGTGGGCCTTGCAGAGTCGTTTGGCCAATTTGTAATAACTGTCATTTCTGCTTCTTCTGCCACTATTCCCTTTGGCTTCACAAAAGCGAGTTCTTTTCTGATTTGTAGGACAGTTCACAGGAATGACAAATGCGTACTTATCACAACTCAATTAAGTTGCATACACGATGACAAGCGTAAAACCAAACGAACAAGGGCAGGCATAAAGGCTATCATTTATTTTCACATATGCGTGTGTACAATGCAAAATAGTAAGAGTATTATACAAACATTTACATGAATTATAAATACCACTATTATCCATACTTTATTACTATTTATCTATACTTTATCAATATCTTATGTGATAAAACTGATCACATATTTTCATTGTTAACATTACACAGCATTGTGTCACTGATGAAGTGTATTGAATTTTTTACAAATAATGTAATACAATTTTACAACAGTTTAATGACTTTGTAATTGTAAACAGCATCTGTTCATAGAATATACACTAGTACCTCTACTACTTTTTTTTTCTCTACATACTCTTGTTTTGCCTTAAAGCTGAGGCATTGAATCAGTTAAGTAAATTGTGTAGAATATGTGTACAAAAAACAAAACAAATTGATAGCTGTGTTTCCTTTACAACATTCAGTTCACATGCCTCGAAAGTGTGGACCTGCAGTTGTTTGATGTCGCCCTCATTATCCTGTTTACCAGCTACAACAGAAGATGGACCACAAGTGTACAGCACATTCCTGTGTGTACTGGTCACTGTTAGTGTGTACTGGTCTTCTCCAGCAGCCACTGCATTTTGACATAGCACACTCAACACACTCTAACCAAGGCTGTTCTGATACTTTTGTTCAGCACTGTGTGAAACTTCAACTCCATTATTAGAATACAGAAAGACCATTTTCAATCAAAGTTAAGATGCAGTAGTGTTAAGATTACATAGTGTACAATACATGTTAGTTTTGTTAGTGGTGTTACCAGTGCAAGATCCCAGTTCAAAATATGTCACATAAATTAATTTCTGATGTTACCTGTGTTTTTGGATGCACCTTATTTTTGGACAGTTTTGTAAAGTAGTACATTAAAACTTTTAGTCAAAGATGCTGGCAAAGGATCTGTGTCCATCACCAACCTTCAGAATACACACAATCACATCAAGACATACGAACAAGCTGTGGGAAGTATGAAATT